CACCCAGCACACACACTTTTTGCCCCACTCCCCTCAGGAAGGAGGTTGAGGAGCATTAAGTGTAGAACCACTAGACTGAGGAACAGCTTCTACCCTGAGGCTGTTAGACTCATGAATCTCTAACTAGAATAATCACTGTGAAAAACCACATCATGTTGCTGCTGATCTGTTTCATGTTGCTGCTGATCTGTTTCAATGTTGATGTGTTCATGCGTGCACATCTGCTCACAGACTCATGTTCATGTTTGTGGTGATGTTCAATGTTTTATGTTATGAGTGCTTAGTGTATATTTAGTTGATGTTTTTCTTAGTTCATATCTTAGATGTTATTACTGTTTTTCTTATACATTTTATTGTTGGATGTAACTGGGACCCTGTGGACATAATTTCGCTCCACCACATGTACCACATGAGGTGCGAATGACTATAAAGAAACTCTGACTCTGACTCTCTGAAGATAAAATAAAATAAAGTTCTGCCACATCCAATATGGCGGACGGGCTGACGTACCGCTGCAGCCCCATGGCCCAGAGGCGTCTACTTATGTATGTCTATGAAAAAACACCAGTGCAGTGTCTTGTTGCTCTAGATCTATGGTAACTGTGCGCCTGACTCCCGGTCACGTGACACCAACTTGTCCAACTCACTTCCGGTTCAGCTGCAAAAAGTTGTGTAGATCTGAAAGTTTAGCTCCGCGTCAGGTGAGTTCGTCGCTGAAGGACCAAAGTGAAGTTGAAGAGAAGCTGAAAGTTTTGAGGAGAACTCATCTTTGTTCGAAGAGGAGCCATGTCGACCGGAGCCTACAGCGAGCAGGGAGGAGCGGCGGAGGCTGCGGTGGAAGCGGGGCAGGAGAACACCCCCACCTCCTCCAGCTCCGGAGCCGCCTTCGGCCTCTTCAGCTCCGACTTTAAGAAGTGAGTCAAACACGGGGTGTGTGTTGGTCAGGCCAGCAGGAGCCGGAGGAAACCTCTGCTGATGCTCAGGAGGTGCTGCACCTCCGGCTGTGCTCCTCAACTCAAACCGACAGGAAGACGCACAAAATCCAACAAAACACAACCAAACCACCGAACCACCGAACCACAGCCAGTGACCCAAGAACAGCAAGTGTTGTGTCTCGTGCAAGTGGAAGTTCCTCCATTTTTATTGTCCGTCATTCTATCCCTTCTGGTTGTTTCATGTGGCCATTTTGTTTGATCTGGGGTCATTTTGTCCTCTTGTTGTTTTGTGTTTGTTTGTGTTGTCCTCTTGTTGTTGTTTTGAGTTTGTTTGTGTTGTCCTCTTGTTGTTGTTTTGTGTTTGTTTGTGTTGTCCTCTAGTTGTTGTTTTGAGTTTGTTTGTGTTGTCCTCTTGTTGTTGTTTTGTGTTTGTTTGTGTTGTCCTCGTT